TTCATCTTAATCAAAAACTTAAAAATTAACCAAGTATGGTGGTGCATGCCTGTAGTCCTAGCTAATCAGGAAGCTGAGGCAGGAGGATTGCCTGAGCCCAGGAATTCGAAGTTACAATGAGCTATGATCATACCACTGCACTCCAGCCTGGGTGACAGAGCAAGATCCTGTCTCTTAAAATAAACAAATAAACAAAATAAAATAAGAAATATCAGCCAACTCAAATATTAAATGTTTTCATTGTAGTTACTAATATGATACTTCAAGTAGACAGCCAGTTGCTCATTAACAATATTTTTATAGGACTCTATCATTTAACAAGTAGTTTCATAAATATTGTCATTTCTGAGCATTAAAAAACAATCTTGTGAAATAGATACTTAATTTTCAAATCAGTTAACCATTAACCATTCTTGATCTGTTAAGTAACCTGGTTCATAATCACAGAACTAGTAGTCAAATAATGTGAACATTCATTGAGAGCATAATATTTGCTGGGAACCTAAAGATAAATAAAATGTGGAATAAAATAGAAATCTCTGCCGATGTCTAATAAAAAATCAAACAGCATGTAAACAAATAAATACAACAGATTGTAGTGCTATAATAGAGTAACCATAAAATTTATCATTCAGGCTGGGCTCAGTGGCTTATACCTGTAATCCTAGCACTTTGGGAGGAATCCCTTGAGGCCAGGAGTTTGAGACCAGCCTGAGCAACATGGTGACACCCTGTCTCTACGAAAAAATAGAAAAGGACAGGCACCGTGGCTTGCCTGTAATCTCAGCACTTTGGGAGGCCGAGGTAGGAAGACAGTTTGAGGCCAGGAGTTTGAGACCAGTCTGGGCAACATAGCAAGACCCTGTCTCTAAAAAAACAAACAAACAAAGGAAATATTAGCTGGGAGTGGTTACACGGGATCGTAGTCCTAGCTACTCGGGGGGCTGAGCTAGGAGGATCACTTGAATCTAGGAGTTTGACGTTGCAGTGAGCTATGATGACACCGTTACACTCTAACCTCGGCAACTGAGTGAGACCCTGTCTCAAAAAAAAAAAAAAATCATTCAAATAGGGAACACTTGTGAGAGTAAAAGGCTACACTATTAATAATCATATGAGGACAATAGGCATAAACTAGGATATAAGTCACTCTACCTATAGTACAGTTATGAACAAAGTGCTATACTAAATGCCAAATTTGAACCCTGGTCTGATTTTTCACTGTACGCATACAAGATATGGTTAGGTTACCAGCTAGTAAGCATCAATCTTACAATCTCATGAGAAGAAACATTTTAAAACATTGTATGATTAAAAAAATTCTACAAGTATACTTGTATCTTTTATCTTCTAAAACAATTTCCAAAGGTTCTAATTTTATGTCCTAAATCAACATTTTCCTCACTCATTTCATCTACTATATTATGAAAACTAAATCTCCTCTATCTAAACTGATGATTTCAGCAGAGCATGTTGGCTCATGCCTGTAATACTAGCACTCTGTGAGGCCTAGGCAGGAGGATCGTTTGAGCTCAGGAGTTCCATACCAGCCTGAGTAAGAGTGAGACCCCCTCTCTATTAAAAATAGAAAAATTACCCAGGTGTCGTGGCACGTGCCTATAGTCCCAGCTACTTGGGAGGCTGAGGCAGGAGGATTGCTTGAGCCCAGGAGTTTGAGATTGCTGTGAGCTAGGCTGACGCCATAGC